TTCTCTCGAATAGTATCCATTCTACACTTAATCGAAAACATATTTAACTCAATCTTACATACATTTACATATTTAGATAGAACTATTTTAAGAATTTTATTTTTCCTCTTCGGTCTCTCTCTATATTTATTTATTGTTGAGATGTGGAAAGGGATTTCGCTTGTGTGTGTGTTGTTTTCCCCCACTATTCTCACAAATACATAATAAAGATTTTGCTTTACCCCCGTTGTGTCGTCTAGCAGATTTCCTTGCGCGACTTATTGAATTAAGGGATGATTCGGAGTGAGTCGGGGCGTAACTTTATTTCAGCTCGGGCTTTAAAGACCATTTGTCATGCAGACTTTAATTTTAAAGCAGCTCTCAGATTGTGACAGATCCGCTTTTAAAAATGTAAAATTTAACACCCTGTATCTGTTATTATTCATACTTGTTTGAATTAAAGTTTTATGGAAATTGTGATCTCTCCAATTGTGTATTCAACGAAAGTGACCAAAATGCACTCACTTAGAATATCTATTATATTTTCTGTCAGGTTAACTTCGCTTAGGTATTTTTTGAAAACCACAAATAAGAACGTGCTTTGAAAATTTTGGTTTTCGAGTTTCACAGAACCAATAACGCATTCGGTTCAGGACTTTGCCTCCATTTTGGGGCCCATTGTGTCATAGAATACAGTTTCATATTAAAAAGCAACCTTTTTTCTTGGGATCGGTGTTATTGTATACACTTTTCAGTGTGCTTTCTTGTCCGCAAAAACCAAAACCAATAACAGTTTTCTCGATGAGGAAAAAAACGCTTATAGAAATAGGATCGTTTTACAAAGGTTTATGATGGAAGTTTACTGCTGTAGGTATGTCTTGTAGGTAACAGTGACCTTATCGTTGACGTTTAATGTGCGCTGTTATAATTTTACAAATGTCCAGTAGTCTTGTTAATTAGGTAAATAATACGCTTGTACTTTTACTTGACCCTCAAACTACATTAAGAATTAATAGCTTTACACATATAATTGATACGTAGATATATATTAAATGAAGTACAGTGTACACTTAAATCGTTTTGGAACTTCGTAATTTAAAAAATATGATTTCATTTAGGGGTTCAGATATTTTGAGATATTTAGGAATTGTTCATAATTTACGTAACAAAAATTTCGTCAGTTTATGACCTTCCTCTTCTTCCACGTAACGGAACATTTTTTTTTTCCAATTTAAATAAAATAAATCTACTATAACGCAGACTAGATTTCCCCCCTTAAAAATCCATAGCTCCGCAGACGTACGTCCGATCCGTACCAAAATGAGCTCGTTCGAAGCCCAATGAATGCGGCAAGTTTTCGACGGAAGCAGTTTTAAATTGTGACACTCCTGGTGCGCGCTAGAGCCGACCTAATTCGCGCAATTTGCTTCTCGTTCGTTTTAGTGTTTTCCTGAGGCCACACGATGTCCCCTACCTCCGGACTGAATGGTCCGATCTCTATAGGAGTATTATCAAGATTTTCTGGAGATACTGGGCTCTGCTTCAAGCATAAAAGCGCCCATCTACGAGGTTCCGTTTCGGAGTTATGGCTGTCGAAAGTTTTAGCCAAGTGTTATTTTCGAAATCAAGGATTAAATGTTTAGGAGAACATATCTGGCGAACTATTAAAGATAGCGCCAACATTCTTTCAACAACGGTTGTCCCGTACNACTATAACGCTCGACTAGATTCCCCACTCTCCAATTACCTTTACCTATTATACGTAATTCATAGGCATCCCCTTATGTGTCTCTTTCTGGCTTTTACTTTTCGTACACGCTAAAGTTGCTCTGTCGACCCTACAGTACCATCTTTATTTGTCATGCCTTTCGACCGTCGTTAACTCGAAATAATAAAAAAGAAAGACACGCACCGGGGACACATTCGGTCATTACGTGTGTTTACAGTCGAGTAGGTTTTTCTTTTACGATATAAGAAAAAGGGTTTTGTTGACCTGATGGCATCTGAGCTGTTGTATTTGTTAGTACAGGAAGAAAGAAGGGACTAATGCGTTAACGCAATAAAAAAGGAAATGTACTTTCGCTGTGTCCTTTTAGAGGAAAAGAAATGCGTGATTTGTTACAATTTCATTGTCTAAAAATACCAGTGATGCACAAGGGAAACCCTTATTCGGCATGTCTGATAAAGTCATCGTTATCATCAGCATCCTAAGACATTCTTCCTATTTTGAGTCTCTTATCATTTTTCAAAAACTCGAGCAACTTCTTGTCTAGATCTACCTCTTCTGTTTCTGCTTCTAATATGTCCCTAACTTAATAACCTATCTCTCCTATTTCTCATTGATTTCCCTAATGCCCTCTGTTCTCCTACTGTTTGTAATATTAATAAGTTTTAGATGGTCAACAATTTGTCAATATTTGGTAAATAAGAAGGGTTGTTTACATCATAATCATCATCATCCTTGGCTCTTCGAGTTGTTCAACTTCTTAATTATTTGTCTCGAAGATGGCGAGGATGATTAATTGGGTTTAAATTTAGTGTAATCTTATCAAAATCGCGGACGGCGTCTCGAAAGAAAACAAAAAAAAAAAAAAAACTGAACGGGATGCCATGACTTAGACGCACAGTATCGTTTTAATTAAACTCCCGACTTGCCCGGTTGGAAAACAACAAGACCAAGAAGACGTCTTCGAAAGTTTTCCGTTTCATTGAAGTTTAATTTGCAAGCTCGGGTCGGCTTTAATCCCTTTCGGTTGTACCGCTGCTACTAAGTCGCTTTTTTTTACATAATAATCCCCGATGTAAAATGAAAATTTCCATTATTTAAATGTCTACAAAATGGAATTTCAAAACCGCCGAAGTACAAAAATTAACTCGGTTTTCTTCTTTGGTGTCTGTAGCAAATTTATCTCAATTTGTGCACCCTGAAAGGGCTTGCTACCTACTGCTACTTTAAATATTTAAAATGGCTACGTCAAAGAGACGGAATGAAGGTGTAGTAGTAGGTCGAATCGCAAGCATCAGATGGTCTAACGTCTTCGAGCGCCTTTTCAAATACGCTCCCGGCCTTCCTCTATCACCGATTGAAAGTCCAGGTCAAATCCCGAGGGGTTTTACGCTTTTAGAAAGGTCGATAGAGGTGGTACTTCCTTGCATTGACGATGGGAAATAAAAAGAAGTCCTTCGAAGAATCCCATTCGACGTTATTCTTCCATTTATCCAAAACCTAACAAATGTATATGCTTAAGATATCATGTTAGAGGGTAGATTTCGAATATTTTAGCCTATAAATGACACTTGTTGCGGTGTATGCATCTAGCTATGTTGAAGATAGATATAGAACATATTTGTTTTAAGTTTTTCTTGATGGTATTTTTAAAATTCGGGGAATTATCAACAGGGAAGCCTTAGGTAGGGAATTGGAAAGTTTTTATGAGAACATGGATTATGTGACTGGATGTGTTCATGTATTATTCTCTATCAGTATCAAAAAATTCGTTTCAGCAAGTAGATATCCATTTATTTAAATGGACCTTATTGGAGCATACGTAATCCTAAAATGTAGCATCGTACTACAGATGGCGTTTACCGCGCCATTTGTGGTATTTTTTAAAACGCGCTGTTAAGACAGCAGGTAATAGTTGGTCTGTGTTCTGTCGGAGCTGTCTGCGACGCGCTGATGAGATCCAAAAAGATCGAAGTCTGGCAGTTTCGACAGAACACAGACCACTTCGAATTATTTTATTCTATCAATATCGTTTTTTCTTTTCAATAAATCCTGAATTTTTCCTTCTACAACCGAATATCGGTAAATTATCGGCAGTCGAAGGAACACAAGTGCCAGACAGAATCTCCAAATTCGCACACATCAAAACGCTTATTTAATGAGGGGATGAAAACGTAGGTACCATAGACTTGGAACGACACGTACGTTCAACCAGACGTCTTGTTGTGTCTTTTGTTCTACTACCGTCTACATAAATCCTCTTGACGTGTTGGAGATATGCGCCGCTGATAATTTCACGTCGGCAACACAGAACTGTACCATCAAAAAAGTTATTTTTTTTTTTTGAGTCTGTGCATTTTGATTGATTGAGATGTGCCACGACGGTAGTTTTTTTTTTTTTATTCGTTTGCAGACGAAGCTAATAAAATCCGTTTTGTAAACTTCAGAAGCCGTTTCGGTACCCAGAATAAATCTGGACGTTAAAGTTCTTAAAACAAACTGGCGGGCCCATAAAACACCAGAGCTGTTAATTTTATTTCCCGGTCCATCGTGGCGAGCGAGCGAGCGAGCTAGCGAGCGCTGACTTTAAACGTAAATTCTCAACCCCCTATATACCGACGGCTATACGGAAACATTTTGTAATCTTACTAATTGAAGTCTGGTACCGTTGCCTTCAGTTTTACAACCGGATTTGGAATAATATGTAGCTACTTACTCTTACAGTTAAAAAAATGAAACAAAGACGCCCTTAAAAGAAAATAGATGCAGAAAGAGGTTCACGTGATGCAGTTCCTTTTTGTGCGGTTTACTTAGCATCCCTTATTATCAAAAAGTTCATGTTATCGTAGTCTAACAGCTACACTGCTGTGACAAAACGAATTTTGCTGGCGGCTTTAAATTTTGGTAATGGCACCGAGAGACCTTACTCGGGGCCCTTATTTCGCGATTCGTCCCCCTTTAACCGCTCGTGCCTACCACTTAGAGTAGAGGGGTGTCGTTTGTGCGAAATTGGAACGCGAGTGTTTTTAGAATCGCGAATTAGCTGATAAGATGAGGGAAAAGATCAAGGAGTGTTCTCGAGGCAATTACATTCGATACCTACCTATAGAAACTCAAGAAGGGGAAAGCAAAGGGGTTGAATTATTGTCACTTATTTCGAGAGGGTAGTTGTCGGAACATCTTGCATCTGCCTTTCCTTTTAGGGTAAACTGTGCCAAGAAGGAATAGAATTAATTTTTTTTTATACGGGTAACTGTGTACATAATTAATTTTCCCTTTTTCTTTTTTGTTACAGTGGGTGGAAGAGTCGTTTACGGACTTTGTGAAAGGGATAAACTGGCGTTCGTACGTCGTGTGCGACGTCGCCTATGATAATGTAAACAATTGGTTGTGGACGCCGTTCATAGACCGGGGCGTCGCCAATCGCATATATATCGAAATCAAGTTTACCATCAGGGACTGCAGTCTGTTTCCAGGTAAATAAATTTGCTATATTCGTGTTTATGTGCGGGGGTGCAATATTTCATTCCCCGTTGTTTACACTCGTTATACGTCGTCCCCCTTTCTGTCCATAAATTACACGCTACGCTATCCAAGGGTATATGTACACGTCGTCACAAACGTTATTCGTAGGTACTAATTGTTTCGTAGCCACTTGTAATTATCTTTTGTAGTTGCAAGAAATTAATTAGTAGATTTGATTGAAAAGCGTCTTCCCATGTAGGAAATCACCACGGGACCGAGTTTAGTTCAAGCTTGGTCCAAAATTGTTCAATTCTGGTCCGAGATTGGCAACCAATATTGGACTAAGACTTGGTGAAAAATAGTAACCCAAGATGGGGTAGTTAATATTATACGAAAACAAAATTAATCCAAAACTGGGCAACTTTTTTGACCAATACTTTATTGTCCAGTATTGGATATGACTTGGCGAAACGTTAAGTTGAAGATTGTTAGAACTGTAGACCAGTATTGACTAGCCAATGCATGGCTGCCTCAGTATTGGGCCAAACGTTAATATACCCAGCCTTGGTATTCAAATGGTTAAAAATCTTTGTTTTAAATAAAAACACAGCGTAAAGGAATTTCACAAGAATAACGATTAAATCTGTCATCATCATCATAAGGTCGTCAATCCTAAGACTGGTTGGACACGTACCTCCACTCTTTCTTATCCTGAGCTAAACTTCGCATTTCCCTAAAACTATAACATCCCACATCCTTAACTCTTTGCCAACACTAATTTAACCTAGGTCTACCTCTACCCCTCCTAACTCCCGTTTCTGCCTCTAATATGTCTCTGACTAGACCTTCATGTCTGAGAAGGTGTCCTACCAACCTATCTCGCCTATTTTTTATTGACTTCCACAGAGTCCTCTGTTCTCCTATTCTTTCCAATACCTCTTCATTTCTAACCTTTTCTACCCACGATATCCTCATCATCCGCCTATAACACCACATTTCGAACGCTTCTAACCTTTTCTTTTCCGCCGCTCCCACTGTCCATGTTTCGCACCCGTACAACGCCGTGCTCCAAACATACACCTTTAACAACCTTTTTCGAATTTCTAAATTAACCGTTCGCGAGCATAGAAGTGACTTCTTTTTATTAAAGGCGACACGACCCTGCGCTATCCTCTGCTTTATATCCCTACTACTCCTTCCATCCTCACTTATCTGACTTCCTAGGTATCTAAAATCAGCCACTTCTTCTAATTTTTCGTCTCCTATCTTTATATTCACTCTTTCCCTACTTTTTTTCCCTTGCATACCAGTATTTTAGTTTTAGTTTTATTTATTTTCATACAGTACTGATCTGTCAGTACCGCTTCCATTTTATTTAAAGCTATCTCAAGGTCCTCCTTTCTAGATGCTAATACTACTACTATATCATCTGCAAATCTGAGCATACTAATCTTTTGCCCTTGCACATCTATCCCTACAGTTGTACTGTCTTTAATGATGTTGATGGCGTCTTCGATGTATAGATTAAAAAGTAGCGATGACAGTGTGCATCCCTGCCTGACTCCCTTCCTAATATTTACTTCTCTTCGCTGCAGCCCCATCTCTATAACTGCCTGTTGCTCTTTATTCAAACTAAGTTTAGTCACTCTTCTATCTCTGTAACTCATCCCTACATTTTTAAGTATATTTAACATCTTGTCCCATTTAACATTGTCAAAAGCTTTCTCTAAATCTATAGATGGTAATAATTCCCCTCTAGTAATCAAACTTTTTACACTACGTGGGACCATTTTTACCAGCGAATTTGCTTTCTTTTTTACCCTCATAACCTTCCCGCAGGCTGGACATTATTTTTTATTATCGAATACGTTTTGTACGTATAATATTTAAACATCGTACCAGTATTATAGCACCGTACTTTGTACAATGTTTGTAGTTGGTCCATTTGGACCGAGATTCGTCTGTATTTATATTTGTTACACAGATTCCAAAGTGTTGTGTGTTTTTCGCGCGTAAAAAATCGGATTTCGGTTTGCCCGCAACGAACGTGATCTCTGTCAATGTTCTTGTTCAAACAGAGGTAAAATAAGTGCAAATTAGGCCCAGATCGGGTTAATCAGGCCCGATGCTTCTAGTACATGGTGTTTACCCACACACACACACACACACGCATTCGTAAATAGGGGGTACTACATACGTGTGTTTGAAAATCGAGTCAGGTAATTAATTGAGTTTGTCTATTTACTTGGACAAATACACTCGAAATTTACATGCATTTACGTATAAGGGACTGCATTCTCTATATGTACTTTTGAAATTGTACAGTTAATTCGAAAAAAAAGGGGAAACTGGGGATCAATGATTTAATAAAGTATGGTATGCATTACTTATACTAGATTAGTTACAATCTAATGTCATACCTAGTAAGAGTTCACTACCTCTTTCCTTTTTATTTTATCAGGTATTTAATTATTATCTCGTACTAAATTTTATCCACCCTTTGTAGCCTTGCAATTAAACAAAGATTTCGGTGAAATATTCCACTTATTTATAATAATACATATAAATAATGGTGAATGACATGAATTATTTCATGTGGACTGTAATATTTACGAAATGTACCCACAAATTCTACTTGTGTTCTCGTACACCTTTTTGAACGATAACTGTACATGGGTCATAAGCTTTGTGGGCATCATCGATACGCGTTGGATATTTTAGCACCACCTTTTCCGCGTCGGTCGTGCGGAAAATTCGGCAATTGTGAGCCGGTGCTAGGGTCCCGAGTTTGAAAGGGGATGCGTTTTCGGAGTGGGTTGGTATTTTGGTAACTCAGTGAAACGAAAAGCGATCCTTTTACTGGAAAACGAATATCCAGTGCATTTGACCGAAACGTTTATTTCAAACTCTACATTCTAAACAAACAATACCCTTTCGTTTAGCAACTGTTTCCTTTTCGTTGCTGCACGAATATTTTATACGGCGTTGCGTCGGTTCAATTTTCTAATCGATCACTTGTTTTAGGCAACGCGCTCTCGTGCAAGGAAACTTTTAGCTTACTTTATTACGAATTCGATGCCGCTACAAGGGAGCCACCCCCTTGGGAGACCGATAGTTACAAATTAGTAGGTGAGTGTTCGTGTATGTCGTAATTGTTGTCAATTTTTCTACTTCTCGATTTATTTTTCCTGTGCAGCCCGTATCGCAGCTGGCGAGGGCCGTTTTAATTCCAATAGCGAGGTTAACATCAATTCCGAAGTTAGAAGCATCCCCGTAACGAAAAAGGGAGTGTATATCGCTTTCATGGACCAAGGAGCTTGCATATCGCTCTTAGCAATTAAGGTACGGCTTGCAATTTACCTTTATCGCGATTTTCCGGTTATTGTTTTTTTGTTTTTGTTTTGTAGATTTATTACATAACATGTCCAGAGACCACGATAAATTTCGCCCATTTCAACGCCACCCCCACCGGCAAGGAAGCCACAGTGATAGTGTTGGCGAAGGGGGTGTGCGTAAAAAATGCAGAAGTGGACGACATTGCCCCCTCGTACGTGTGCAAGGGGGACGGAAAATGGTCTTTGCCCACCGGCGGATGCAAATGCAAAGCGGGATTTCAGCCCGACGTCGAAAAACAAGCCTGCAACAGTGAGTTTGTTTCCGATACTTGTTATAATATTTTTGATAAAATTATTTCGTTTTTAGTTTGTCCGATCGGAAAATACAAAGATAAAGCGGGCGACGGGGAGTGCAAATCCTGTCCGGAATATTCCAAAGCAATCAAGAACGGTTCCGTCGAGTGTAAATGCAACGATGGGTATTTCAGGGCACCTAAAGACCCCAAAGATATGCCGTGTACACGTAAGTCGATTCCGTCTGTACACTCGGTTGAATTTTTTGTTGTTTAAAAATAATTTTCTTTCCATTTCAGAGCCCCCGTCAGCGCCGCAAAATTTGACTCTAAATTTCGTCGACCAGTCTATGGTCACGTTAAGTTGGAGTCCGCCCCAATATCTGGGGGGCAGGACTGATATCTATTACAGGATCAAGTGCGACGCGTGTAGTTCAGGCGCCGTCCAATACATTCCCAGTGCTGTAAGTTGTTTTTAAATAACATATTTCGTATTGTTGTAAGATGTAATGGAATGATTTCAGGAAATTTTCAACGATACCAGGGTAACAATCAGCGGACTGAACGCTCTGACTTCGTACGGGTTCCAAGTGTACGCAGAGAACGGCGTTTCTCACTTGAGTTCCGCGAAAACCCCGCCGAAATTCGCGAACATCGTCGTCACCACGGAAGCGTCCGTGGCCAACAGTATACCGAACGTCCGCGTAACTTCCGTGAAAAGTACCGAGATCGGTCTCGCGTGGGACGCGCCTTCTTTCGACGGAAACGACCACGAACCGGTGGAACTGTACGAGGTAAGTTTGTGCTTCATTTTTTTTGTTAACTCGATTTGATTTATTTTGTTATTCCAGGTCCGTTATTCGGCCAGAGGCGACGCGGATTACAGCAACGTTTCGTCCATTTATACATCGGAACAATCGACAACCATCACGGGTCTACAACAACGAACAGAGTATGGTATTCAAGTCCGAGCCAAAAGCCACAAGGGATGGGGTAACTATTCTCCCGTCATCCTGAAAACCACCGGTCAAGTTTTGAACACAGGTAAGTCGTCCTTCCTCAGGAATTCCATACCGGATCGATCGATTTATTCTTGATTTTTTTTTTTTATTTTGAATCGGTCATTTTCGTTTGTTAATTCGACTCGTTCGGTTGGCGGTTACCGGGAATTTTTTTTTTGTTCCTTTTCCAGCCTACATAGGGGACGAAGAGGGGCTTCATCTGAGGTTCATGGCCGGCGGTATTGTGGTCATCGTGGTCATCTTGGTCGCCGTGATCGTTTTGACGGTGGTCTTCTTGCGTTCGAGGGCTAACGATGAGTGCAACAAGAAACAGCCGAGCGACTGTGATACATTAGAATATAGAAACGGCGAAGGTAAGTTTTTCACACTTTTGTTTCTCTTTTTTGTTTTTCATCGGGGAAAGTTTCATGGTGAGGCGGCGCGCTCTTCGTTTGTTTCGTATTAATCGCCCGAAAGTATTTTAACACTTTTTCCAAACTATTTTCGTACTAAATAATGGTGTGGCTTATGTACATTTTGGATTATGATTATTCTAATCCTTTAAATATGTGCGTAAAGGTTTGTTGGAGAAGAAAGTTGAGATAATAAATAAATTGTCTAAATACGACAAGAAAAGTAACACATTCTACTTTTGGTATATTTTTACGTCCGATAGTTTTTTGTTACCTATTAAATTTTAAAGATACAAAACGTTATGTCTTTTTTGAATTGAATGACACTTAGATGATATTATATTTACACATTAGAATTGCCTGCGTCTAACTCCCGTAGAGATTATCTTGTTACGTTCCGATTTAAATAAATAAGATACAAACTCTAGAGTTATGTCACGAAAGTTTAGATGACTGCACTACCCCTCTTATTTATTGAACTTACCCTGTTGTTTTCATGCCAAAAAGGACTTGTAGTAACTTACAGTAAGTGTACAATGTTTGCCAGTTGCTCCTTGTTCGATTTTTCTTCCGTAATCGTACTTTTTTGCACGTATTATCGCACTCTAAGACATTTTATCTTGTAGACGTCGTGCTTGCTTTTTTTGTAAATGCTATTTTTGATTTGCATTCTTAAATTAAATTCGGCGTTTTTTTATTATTTTTTTGTTACTCTTTGTTTTTAGTGCACCATAGCCTGGATAACCCCCCTATCGTTACAACGCATACCAATGGTAATTGTTTTTGTTTCGTAATAAATAATTTTTATTTATACGTAATTATTGCATGCTCTCGCTTGAATTAATTAATTTTTTCACGACAGGATTCTTAATTATCATTTTTCGTGTGGCTTTTTTGAATAAAGTAAAAAAAAAACACATAGGTAACAGCAATAGTAGATACTTATTCTATCGGGTTGTTCGGAAAGTCATTTGGTTTTTTTTTTTGTGGAAATGAAAGACAGTTTTCGTATAATAAACAAATACTTTATTAAATTATATATTGACCGTTCTGGTCCAACACCTTTTGCCATCTTTCTGGTAGTAGCATAATTCCACGCTCATAAAATTTTTGGTCTTTGCTGGCAAAAAACTGATCGAGGAGGTTTTTGACCTCCTCATTTGAGGTGAAGGTTTTACCGTCTAAAAAATTTTGGAGTGACCGGAACAAATAATAATCCGATGGTGCCAGGTCTGGAGAATATGGTGGGTGTAGTATTGTATCCCATTCAAGCTGTAAAAGCTTTTGGCGAGTGACCAAACTTGTGTGAGGTCTCGCGTTGTCTTGGTGAAACTACACCTTTCCCGTTGATTAGTTCTGACATTTTCTGTTGAAGTGCATCATTCAGTTTGTCCAGCTGATGACAGTAGACTTCCGAATTAATCGTTGTGTTATCCGGTAAAAGCTAAAAAAAAAAACGATTCCTTTAAAATCCCACCAAACGGACAGCATCACCATTTTTTGGTGAATATCGGCTTTGGATATGGTTTGAGCCGGTTCATCTTTTTTGCTCCATGACCTCTTGCGTTTGACGTTGTTGTATACAACCCATTTTTCGTCCCCAGTGATGATGCGCTTCAAAAACGAATCATTTTCGTGACGTTTGAGAAGCGAATCGCAGACGTCAATGCGGCGACACAGATTTCTCTCTGTGAGAACATGGGGAACCCATACATTAAGCTTCGAGGATAATCCCGGCCTTTCAAGTGGTCATAAACTGTTGAATTTGATAAATTTAACCTCAATCCGATCTCACGTGTTGTTATTCGCCGGTTCACATCAACTAATGCCTTTATCGCGTCTTTATCAGCTTCAACCGGCCTTTCCGAACGTGGTGCATCTTCGACATCAAAATTGCCGGATCGAAATTTAGCGAACCAGTTCTGGCACTGGCGTACTGTCAACACACCTTCTCCATACACATCAGTCAATTTCTTTCTGGCTTGAACAGCATTTTTACCCTTTCTGTAGTAAAAGAGTAAGATATGTCGAAAATGCTGCTTATCGCTCTCCATATTTAAAAGGGCACCAACCAAAAACTACTGCGTAGAATTAATTGGAATTTTTCACACACAAGCCTTGCTATATGAGCTCTCAAAGCATATAAAAATTATACGGCTTAAATGTGAAGTTGGGTGCAAAAGGATACAATTAAATCCTCTGTCGGGAAAAAACGAAATGACTTTCCGAACAACCCTATATTTGCAAATTGAAAGGCGTCTTCGCAAGTAAACTCTATTTATTATTTGGACAACGTTTAGAACTGACGGACTTTTTACAGTGACCACGCCACTGTTCGCGCCTATCGGGGGTGCGTCCCGGACCTACATCGACCCCCACACTTATGAAGACCCCAACCAAGCCGTCCGCGAATTCGCCAGAGAAATTGACGCAAGTTGTATCACAATCGAAGCCATTATTGGTAATAAAAATTACATAGGTACCACGTATCGTGGAAATTACTAAAATGTGTTGTTCGAAATTTCACAGGGGGTGGCGAGTTTGGGGACGTTTGCAAGGGCAAACTCAAAATCAGCAGCAATAACGAAATAGACGTAGCAATAAAAACACTAAAAGCCGGTTCGCATGAGAAAGCCAGAAACGATTTCCTGACCGAGGCGTCCATCATGGGTCAGTTCGAACACCCCAACGTCATTTTCCTCCAGGGCGTTGTCACGAAGTCGAATCCCGTCATGATCATCACCGAGTATATGGAGAACGGATCTCTGGACACATTCCTGAGGGTGAGTAGAAAACCGGGTGCGCGTAGTGTGAAGGTGCCTGGAGAAAATATTTATCTTTTCCGATAGGCCAACGATGGTAAATTCCAAGTGCTCCAGTTGGTGGGGATGTTGAGGGGCATAGCGTCCGGGATGCAGTATCTGAGCGAGATGAACTACGTCCACAGGGACCTGGCCGCCAGGAACGTTTTAGTTAACTCTCAACTAGTTTGTAAGATAGCGGACTTCGGCCTAAGTAGAGAAATTGAAAGCGCAACGGAAGGAGCCTACACGACAAGGGTAAAAACACTTCCCGCGAACTACGTCGAACGAAATTATTTGAAACGAATTTATTTTTCTTAACGGTTCTAGGGCGGCAAGATTCCGGTAAGGTGGACGGCACCGGAAGCGATAGCCTTCCGGAAATTCACCTCCGCCAGCGACGTGTGGTCCATGGGAATCGTCTGTTGGGAGGTGATGTCCTACGGCGAGAGACCCTACTGGAACTGGTCGAACCAGGACGTCATAAAAAGCATAGAGAAGGGATACAGGTGAGCATTTCTTTTACCATTCTTCTACCACAAACTTGCTTAGAATTAATATAAAACAACAGCAGAGTCCTGCAAAGAATTTTTAGTGTTGGTAATATTTTTTTGACGTGACAACGTCTTATAATTCGATGGATCCGGCTGCACGCACGAAAAAACATGACTCATGCGGCGTTACCTCGCTCTGAGGCGTTCCATTTAAGGCTTGGAGTGCAAGCGAGAGCGCGGAACGAGCGACAAAGAGGCACAATCGGCCTCCGCGTTCGGCGGCGTTCGACATCTGTCTCTCTCCTACTTGAGTGAGCGATGCGTCCGCGTGGACAGCTGCTATACAATAATACATTTCCATTTACCTCCTTCTATATATCCATACAAAACCATTCCATCAGTATTTTCTTATGACGTTGTCACGTTCAACTATCGTCAGTAAACCGAATTTACAGACAACCGATTTTTTTATTTATTTATTTTCGTGTACCAGGTTGCCTGCACCTATGGACTGCCCCGAAGCAATATACCAGTTGATGCTGGATTGTTGGCAGAAGGAAAGGACCCACAGGCCTTCCTTCCAGTCGATCGTGAAAACGTTAGACAAACTTATAAGAGTCCCCGATACGTTGAGAAAAATCGCCCAGAACCGGTAAGTCGTTGTTTTTCCTTAAAAAATTAATTTCGTGTACTTCCCCGACTTTACCGCCTGTCTCTCTACTTACACACCTCGTACTTCTGTCGTATTTCATTTGTTGTCGTAGACTCACTTGATTTTGTATTGCACATCTCATCTGTTCCAATTTAAAACGAATATCAAATGCTTTTTTGCTTCTTGTGCCTTTATTGTTTATTAATCATCAAATTATTAATTAATTAATTCAATCACATATCACCGCACAATAGGTACATTTTTTGTTTCTTGTTTGTTTGTTTGTTTATTAATATTTGATTTTCACGACACTGTTTTTAATAATTAGATAAGTAGATGTTTTAACACAAGTTTCTTGTTGCTCCCTTTTAGACGCCAGCCGCCGCTTAATCCCTATTTTTGGCCCAATTCAAAACTAGTTAACGAAATGCAAGACGTGTCTCTCGCCCAGTTGCCCCCCTCTAGTATTTTTCCAAATCAAAATTACGGCGATTTTCCGACGTTCGGGACATTTTTCGTGCCGTTAGAGCCGGTTGCACGTCCCGATTTTCGACCGTCGTCGGGGGGCAGTTTGTTGCAATTATGCCCCCCCATATACACCACCAGTAGCAGTTCGAATTTTTTGAATAATTTCACTACTAACATTTGCGATGATCAGTCGTCGTCCGGTACGAGAAATTGGTTGGAAAATAATTTAAATAACGGTGGTGGTTTTAAGTTCGACAATTTTCGATTTTCGGACATGTCGCGCGAAGAAAATAACGAGGACCTCGTCGGGGGTGGCAACGGCGAATGGGGGCGGGAGACAGGGGGCCAAGAAGACACAGTCACAAGCCAGTGGTCGTCAACAGACACTGAGAATTGTGCAAAGACTGGGGCGTGGGTCAATTTTAACAACTTGTAAATATTGCTTTTGGTTTTGTTTTGTTGCGAAGGTATTGCGCTTATTTTATTTTTAATTTTTACAATTAATTTGCTAGTTAATGACATGACAATAACGACTGTGGAATTTTTCTCTAATCAAATCGATTTTCTTCCTTATTATAAATCACTAAAAAATTCCAAGTCGTTATTGAAGTACGATGAAAAGTTTTTGCAACTGCAAGTTTTCTCGGTTCAGTTTTGCAAAAACTTTAGTTGTACCTTTCTAACATGACACATCTTTTGCATCTATCTTTTTTTAAATCTTATATAACGTAATCTCGATTTTTTAGTCTTAATTTTTTTTTTAAACTATCGTCAATTAATTATACAGTTTTAATAGCTTTTTTTATCTTGCATTGCTTACAATTAGTGCCAGCGATTTTTATTATGTCCAGAATTCACCTCTCAATAACTTTGTTTTGCATGATCTATTCGATGACCGACCCCTCGTTATTAATTTTTTGAATTACTAAAAACACTTCTCCCCTACGACTTTCTTTTTCTAACTGTTTGACTCTTTATTACATTAACAGCATCAAATAACAAAAACAGGGTCCTTTTCTCAATATAAAACGTTTTTCAAATAAAATTTTTCGATATGCTAAAGGGATTATTTTGCCCTGTCAAAATAGGTCGAACAACCCCCTTGCTGCAGACGCCCCCGACCTGACCAACTTCACATCGGTGGAGGAGTGGCTGAACTCGATCAAAATGACGAGGTACGTGGACAACTTCCACACGGGAGGCATCAACACCATGGAAGCGGTGGTGAACCTGACGGTCAAAGATCTGACCGAGTTGGGCATCACCCTCGTAGGTCACCAGAAGAAGATCATGAACAGCGTCCAGAGTATACGAGCCCAGATTCGGGTCAACGGTCCTGAAGGGTTCCTAGTCTAAAACGACGCAAAACAGACATCAAAGGTAAGCCGTCAGTAATCGTCGGAAATGGGAAGTTTCATTTCGTTTGTTCTGTTCTTCTTCTTGTTATTGTTTGTTGTTTTGTGTGTGTGGACCGGAACCGTGAAAGAACACTCATCAGTAGATAATACATAATAATTTTTCTCCGTCTTAATTGATTTCGGCAGCTTTTTAACTAATTATTTTTTTTTGTTTGTTTTATAATTACGACATTTTATTCGTGATTCATGATAAAGAGATCAGAACGAAAGAAAATCTGTCCGTGTGTTTTTTTTCTTGTTCTTTCGATTTCATAAGGGCTATCGTGCTACTACGTATCGTATGACGTGCGCAGGGTCTCGTTGTGATCTCCTTTTTATTTTGTTTTTTCCAAATTTGTGTTCTTTTTTTTCCACGTCTCTATTATTCACAAATAGCGTCAGGACTATAGGGGAGATGCCGAGTACCTGCGCGCTCATACCAAGTAAAGACTGCACTTTTGTTACACAGATATCGTCTATCACATATTTTTAACGAAATAATACATAATTAATTAATAAAAAATAAAAAGAAATGAAAAGTAATAAGCAAGCTTATATACGATTTGTTATAATCTGAGATTTATAATGTGATTTTTACTGTACGTACGTAAGTAAGGGTTAGTTTTTAAGTATTTATGAGAAACGCGATTTAGGGATTAATTAGACGTGTGCTATCGTCTCCCACACCCCTTCAATCCTTCTTTCTATAATCATTTTCTCTTTCATTTATCATCGTCATTTCGAACTAACTAACAGCGAGTGCAGAATAGCAAAAGATTTTTACGCGTTTTTTGTTGCTTTTTTTGAAAATTATTAATATAATGATATGATAGGAAGAAAGGCCTGCCATTTTTCGGGAGGGCGTAAAATGAGAACGAAGAAAGTTCGACATTAGAATTTGTTGTATGCTGATAAACGTAATTGAAAATAATTTCTCCTTTTGGCTATGTAAAATCAGTGAACAATCTTCGGTCTCCAATTTACGTACTCCCCTTGATAACAGTTTGTCGTCCTCCAACTCCATGTAATTTGTAGGAAATAAAAAGTCGTCTGAACACCAATAATAAAATTATTAATTATGTAAAATACCTTGTAGTAAATGTATGTCGTATTTTTCTCAATTCTTTTTAAGTTCAAATATCAAATTACAAATCTAATAATTCCTTTTTCTATCTCAAAAGCAAAGTGACCGTTCAACTAGTTCATAGAAACCTAATTTCGATTTGATTTAATTAGTTAAAAAAGAGTATCTTACGAGAAAAATGTCCAAGGCTGTTTGTCACATATTTATTCTAAAAGTAAGATTTTTAAGAATAGCAATAATAAACGTTGGTCCCCAATTTTAAGTGTGTCTGAAGTGTACAATCGGTATAAATTCACTAGGATGTAACACATTGTAAATGTACTTAACTTTAATGCTCAAGCCTAATAATGTTTGTTTTTTTTTTTTTTTTATATTGTGTTGATTATAATATATAACTTAACTTGTTTTTTTTCTACTTAATTATGTGTTACGACTGATATAATTTAAACGAAACATTTTTTAGATCGATTTCACAGTAATTTCTTAGCCATTTTCTATTTATACATTATTATACCTAAACATGTACGTTTTTTATACATTCCATGCAACATTGCCCGTAGAGAAGTGTTCGTTTAATTATAAATTAATACAAATGCAAAACAAAACGTATTATAATATAATAATTAATTTAGTTTTCAATTGACAAACACTTCTCTCCTCAAACTTTGACTTGCCTAACTGTATATGATTAATATTGATCCCAAACGAAAACTGAACGTTTGGAACGATAAAATTTATACGATTTTAAATGAACATTCAGCTTTCGATTGGGTTTTGCTAATTTTTTAAACTTCCGCATAATGTCAGTGTAAAGATGTAATATATTTGTAAAGAAAAGTATTAATTATTCATTAAAACAGTAGTTAATGTGTCTCGTTTATTTTCCCTACACGTGCGACGAGAGAGAGAGAGAGAGAGAGAGGGTAGAAGAATTACATACGAACCGATTCACCCCCCCATCGTGGGGGTCGATCGAAAGACAGACATCAATAGTTCGTAGACGAAGTTGAACCTCAACTATCAGAACCCAGTCCAATTACTCCAAAGTCATCAAGGAAATGTGAGTTTGATTTGTTTATTTTTTTTTCAGAACTTTTCTTTCTTTACTTCTATTTGTTTATTTATTTTCAAACTTTTTCTTAAATAGTCTTTTCTATGATTTTTTAACTTCGTTTTCGTTAAGACTTAACAAAAGCCATCCTTCCTTTCAATTTATAACTTTGCATTTACTAATTTTGCATGATCTATTCGATGACCGACCCCTCGTTATTAATTTTTTGAATTACTAAAAACACTTCTCCCCTACGACTTTCTTTTTCTAACTGTTTGACTCTTTATTACATTAACAGCATCAAATAACAAAAACAGGGTCCTTTTCTCAATATAAAACGTTTTTCAAATAAAATTTTTCGATATGCTAAAGGGATTATTTTGCCCTGTCAAAATAGGTCGAACAACCCCCTTGCTGCAGACGCCCCCGACCTGACCAACTTCACATCGGTGGAGGAGTGGCTGAACTCGATCAAAATGACGAGGTACGTGGACAACTTCCACACGGGAGGCATCAACACCATGGAAGCGGTGGTGAACCTGACGGTCAAAGATCTGACCGAGTTGGGCATCACCCTCGTAGGTCACCAGAAGAAGATCATGAACAGCGTCCAGAGTATACGAGCCCAGATTCGGGTCAACGGTCCTGAAGGGTTCCTAGTCTAAAACGACGCAAAACAGACATCAAAGGTAAGCCGTCAGTAATCGTCGGAAATGGGAAGTTTCATTTCGTTTGTTCTGTTCTTCTTCTTGTTATTGTTTGTTGTTTTGTGTGTGTGGACCGGAACCGTGAAAGAACACTCATCAGTAGATAATACATAATAATTTTTCTCCGTCTTAATTGATTTCGGCAGCTTTTTAACTAATTATTTTTTTTTGTTTGTTTTATAATTACGACATTTTATTCGTGATTCATGATAAAGAGATCAGAACGAAAGAAAATCTGTCCGTGTGTTTTTTTTCTTGTTCTTTCGATTTCATAAGGGCTATCGTGCTACTACGTATCGTATGACGTGCGCAGGGTCTCGTTGTGATCTCCTTTTTATTTTGTTTTTTCCAAANTTTTTATTTAGAATTTTTCTTTTTAGAGCGAAGACGAAGTTGAACCCCAACTATTGGAACCCAATCCAATCACTCCACAGACATCAAGGAAATGTAAGTTAATTTCTCTATCTTTTTTTCACTACTTTTCTTTCTTACTTTCTCACTTGTACTTCTATTTGTTTATTTAATTTCAAACTTTTTCTTAATTAGTCTTTTCTCTAATTTTTAACCTTCCTTCCTTTCAATTTATAACTGCATTTACTAACATTGTTTAGTTTATTTTATTTTTAAGTTAACTTCACTATTCTTTTTGAGTTTTTTTATTTATTTAATTTTTTTCAGATAAAACCTCCCGTCAACGCAATGCCCAACTCCAAGGAGATGAACAGCTAAGTCAGGACATCAACCAGAGCCTACCCAAGTCCCGGGGATGGAACATCGAACAATCCAATGTGGATGGGAAGTCACGCAGAGCATCAGGACCACTAGGACTCGTTGGACATCGAGGGATTGGGCCAGCAGCGGGGTCCGAAGTCCACGAGGTCCGAAGACACCGAGGTTAGAAGACATCGATATTCCAGGAGCCCCACGTAAGAGGACTTCGAACTTCGAAGACTTCGAAGTTTGAAGAGCTCGGGGTGCGAAGACCTAGAAATTGGTAAGTCTGCGGGGTTTGAAGACTTCGAAATAAGAAGTCTTCGTACTTCGGGGTCTCTGGGGTTCAAAAACTCCGGGGTTGGAAAACGCCAAAGTTCTTTTGGCGTTTTCTGACTTCGGAATTTTCGAACTCGAGAAACTTTGAAGGCGAAACCTTCTTATTTCGAACCTTCTAACTTCACAGTCTTTCTAATTTCGAAATCTTTAATCCCCGGGATCTTTAAACTTCAAAGTCTTTGAAATTCGACGTCTTCGCACATGGGACTCCTCTGGAATATCGACGTCTTCCAACCCCGGAGTCTTCGCACCCGGAAGACTTCGAATCCCGCACCTTGGGCGGGGGCGGGGGCGCGGACGCGGGCGCGAACGCGTGCTCCGGGCCTCCCGGAGCACGCAGCGGGGGGAGGGGCCGGGCGGGGCGGGTACGGAAGGACGGGGGGGTGTATTATAAATAAAAAATATAATAAATGAATAAAGTTTTTATTTTAACAATTTTGTATTTTTTGGCTGGTGCATCCCTATATCGAGTGTTTTTGTTATTCGACGCCGGTGGGGGACGGCTCCCCTGTCCGCGCGCGGTGAGTCGGGGATACGGGTCCCCTCCCCTCGCGCGGGGGACCATTTCTAGCAGGGTTGAATTCCTCCCAAGTAGTAACAGCCGCCATCCAATGACCAGGAACATCTTCCAAGCGGTTAGAAGTCCCTTACAACAACTAGATCGCCGTTCAGAGGCTTGACTTATTCCTACGCCAACAGAAACACTTTCAAATTGCTCGTTGATGGCCATATCTGCAGAAGATAAGGTACAAGTACCTTACTTCCGCGGATAGGACCACCTTCAAGCAACTTGAAGGTGCTACTGTTCGCGGAGGGATAAGTCTTACCTATGAATGGTGATCGTCGATGTTGGAAGGGACTTCTTACCGTTGGAAGATGATTCCAGCCATTGGACGATGGCTCTTACCGTTGGGAGGGATTCGCCCCCGTTAGAAGTGGTCCCCCGTTGTTCACGACGACCGATGATCCCACGATGAACCTGCTGCAGAGTCCTGAAGTCCTCGCTGCCTGTAAAAAAAGTAGTAAAGTTAGTAAAAGAAATAAGTTTTATAGATAATAAGAAGGAAAAAGTTAAAGAAAAGTTAAAATAAATAGAAAAAGTACCTACCATGATGATCTCCGATGGCTGATTCTTCCGAGGTTGGTCATGGACAAACCCACGGTGGTAGATGTCCCCTATGTTGTGTAGTGGCCGTCGAATCCCGTTGCCTGTAAACAATTCCATAATGTTAGTAAAAGAATTAAAAGATTTGTAAATACTAATAAAGAGAGTTCTAATTAAAGCGTTAAAGTTAATAAGAATGAGAAAGTTAAATAAATGATAAAGAAGCTACCTACCCTGATGAAGATGGTCTCATGATGGCTGGTATTCTCCTGGGGTTGGTGATAGTGATCTCGTCGTAGTTGATATCCTCTTGTACTAGAGAAAGTCCTCGTAGTAGGCTTCAAGTACCTGCTGATGGTAAAAAAGACATAACGTTAATAAAAATGAAAAAGATATGATAAAACTAAGTAATAAATAGAAATTAAGTTTTGAATAAAGTGTTAATGTAAATTAAAAGTAAGAAAAGTATTAAAATTAGATAAATCAACTGTTAAAGTAGATAAAAAGAATGAAAATGTGTTAGAAAAGATAGTCAAGAAAGAAATTTGAGTTATGAAAGAAAGTCTTAATGTAAATCAAAAGAATGAACATATTTATAGAAAGGTAAGTTATAATTAATGTTTTAATAAGGCAGATAAATAGAAAGAAGTGTTAAGAAAGGAATAAATTAAATCCTACCTTCACAAAGGTGGTCTCTTCATTGCTGGTATCCTCCTGGGATCGGTAATAGTGATCCCATGGTGGTTGATATCTCTCCACTACTGCAGAGGTCCTGTAGTAGACTTCAAGGACCTGCTGATGGTAAAAAATACATAACGTTAATAAAAATGAAAAAAATACAAGAAATATAAGTAATAAATATAAATTAAGTTCTGAATAAAATGTTAATGTAGATTAAAATTAAGAAAAGTTTTAAAATTAATTAAATCAACTGTTAAAGTAAATAAAAAGAAAGAAAATGTGTTAGAAGAGATAGTCAAGAAAGAAATTTAAGTTAAATCAAAAGAATGAACATATTTATAGAAAGGTAAGTTATAATTAATGTTTTAATAAAGCAGATAAATAGAAAGAAGTGTTAAAAAGGAATAAAATAAATCCTACCTTCACAAAGGTGGTCTGTTCATTGCTGGTATCCTCCTGGGGTTGGTAATAGTGATCCCATGGTGGTTGATATCTCTCCACTACTGCAGAGGTCCCGTAGTAGAATTCAAGTACCTGCTGTCAGTAAAAAAGACATAATGTTAATAAAAATGAAAAAAATGCAAGAAGTATATGTAATAAATAGAAATTTAGTTATGAATAATGTGTTAATATTATATAGAAAAGAAATTATGAGTGCTATCAGCACTAGGTAAAGTAGTTTAGGTGGTTAGTATCAGCCTTCTAATGTTGAAGTGTATGATGTGTTGCATACCTATTTAAAAATTCTTTTAAATTTAATTTTTCAAACAATTTTTAATACAAAGAATGTGATTAAACAAATTGTTCACAAAAGTGAATTTCGACCACTCGAAGCAATGGTGCTAACAGTTTCTAGCTCACAGTGACTGATAGGGGGAAAGAACTAGTGTTAATTAAAAAAAAAAGCTTTTAAATTAGTTAAATCAACTGTTAAAGTAAATTAAAAGAAAGCTAATGTGTTAGAAAAGATAATCAAGAAAGAAATTTGAGTTATGAAAGAAAGTTTTAAAGTAAATCAAAAGAATGAACGTATTAATAGAAAGGTAAGTTATAATTAAAGTTTTAATAAAGCAGATAAATAGAAAGAAGTGTTAAAAAATGAATAAATTAAATCCTACCTTCACGAAGGTGGTCTCTTCATTGCTGGTATCCTCCTAGGGTCGGTAATAGTGATCCCATGGTGATTGATATCTCTCTAGTACTGCAAAGGTCCTGTAGTAGACTTCAAGGACCTGCTGATGGTAAAAAAGACATAATGTTAATAAAAATGAAAAAAATGCAAGAAGTATATGTAATAAATAGAAATTTAGTTATGAATAATGTGTTAATATTATATAGAAAAGAAATTATGAGTGCTATCAGCACTAGGTAAAGTAGTTTAGGTGGTTAGTATCAGCCTTCTAATGTTGAACTGTATGATGTGTTGCATACCTATTTAAAAAGTTCCTTTAAATTTAATTTTTCAAACAATTTTTAATACAAAGAAAGGAAATATGTTAGAAAAGATAGTCAAGAAAGAAATTTCAGTTCTGAAAGAATGTCTTAAAGTAAATCAAAAGAAAGAACATATTAATAGAATGATATGTTATAATTAGTGTTTTAATATAACAGATAATTGGAAGGAAATTTTAAAAAAGGAATAAAATTATTCCTACCTTCACGAAGGTGGTCTCCTCATTGATGGTATCCTCCTGGGGTTTGGAAAAGTGAGCTAATGGTGGTTGATATCTCTCTAGTACTGTAGAGGTCCTGTAGTAGACTCCAAGTCCCTGCTGTCAATAAAAAAGAGACTTGATAATAGTAAATAATAAACAAATAAAGTTTTAAACTTCTTCTAAATCTTTCATAACTTGTCTTGTATTTCAGTTATTAGTTATTACATAATGTTCAATGAATAATATATAAATTAATTTTGCATAAGTTGTATGACTGTTTAAGTAAATAAATAAATTAAAATCCTACCTTTATAAGTCTACAGCGTAGTCCATAAGAATTTCATGCGACTTGTAAGGAATTTTCTTTCATGGGAAAGATGTTCTGAATGCTAAAACAAAAAGAATATTATTTAGTAAATAAAAACATATGTAGGAATGCAATATGATTTTCAAATTTGGAATGAAGTTAAAATACACAAATAAAAGTAATAATAAAGTGGAGGATAATCTCATTATCAGCTATAAAGATCTTGTTTTTAAAATTCATTATTTCATTTTTACAAACCCGATGGCTAAATGAAACTACTCTGTATTGGTACATAAACAGAATAATAAAGAAGAGACATCAACAATTTCTAACCTACAAATTAAACTTCAAAATGTTTACTAACGAACACAGATATTTTATCCAATATATGCTTGAAAACAGTTATATTTCTCTTGAAGAAGCTTCTGAAGTCTACAAAAGTATCCCAGGTTTAATAGGTTTACGTTTTCCTGTAATAAAAATTTTCTAATCAAGGTTTTTCACTAACTTTTAGGTGAAAAAAATCACAAATCGAAATCCCTTGAACAGTTAATTCATACAATTAACGAAAAAATATGTAAGCAAGAACTCCGTATTGTTACTGCAAAATGTGACTTAACTAATGAGGACAACGTGATATTAATAAACACAAGTAGTGACAATCTAACAAGACGATTAAGGGCTTTCACTCCTTCAGAGCTACTATATTTCCAAATTATTATTAAAGAAATAATTACAACTGAAGGACAGAAAATTCCATACCACATCTGTTTAAATTTATCAAAATCAGATGCTATTTCATTAAAAGCTGATGATGCAGAAAATGTTTTAGAAAAGTGGCTTAGTATGGGCTACTTTATCAAAATTGAGAAAAATATTCATTTAGGGAGTAGGAGCATCGTCGAGCTTATTCCATTCTTCCATCAATATTATAAGGACTACATAAAAAAGTGCTATTTGTGTTCAGACTTGGTGTTTTCTGTAAGTTTTACCGATTTTTTCAAGATATCTTTTAACAACACACTCCATTATTTTAGGGTCACATTTGCGATATTTGTAAAGAAGAATTTCACAAAGTTTGTATAAGAAAATTTCTTGTTAAACATCAAAATTGTCCAAACTGTATAAACCGAAATGAAAGTAGATATCGCTGCGAAAATGAAAGCATCGATGAAGATGACAGTATGTCTATACCAAGCACAAGCAGGAAGAAGAAACGTTTAGATTGATAAAAATAATGCAATGTATTGTTATTTTAATTATCTATAAATGTTAATGCTTGATACTACAACCTTCATTAGTGAAAAATTTAACTTGAAAGACGTTATAAACAGTTTGTGGACAAATTATCGTTTAATCAGGAAGCAAATTATAGTTCTCAATTTTCCAAAATTCGTTTTCATACCGTAATAACTAAGGCACCTCCAAAACTCTTTTTTTCCGATTACTAAAACCCTTTTCTATACTTTGTAATCACTACAAGTCTTAAAAAGTATTTTCTTTGTATGGTATAAATTCAAATTTAAAATGCGACATCTGTTAGACGAAATCACAAACTCTTTTAGTTAAAATGCACCAACTTCTAATAAGTTCTAGTGTACCAGAGGGTTGAACATTAGAACTACACAGTCGCGGTTATTTTTGACGTTTAGTATCGAGGTTAATGAATATTTTATAAAAATATCTAAAATGTACGTAAAAAACCTAAAACAAGATTTTTATGAATTTTTGGCAGCAAAGGTTCGTTTACAATTAATCAATTTCATTCAGTTTAACTAAGGGTTCCATTCATTTTAGCGGATATTACTGATAGCAAACTACGACATTGATTCAATTTGTACTTGTAAAATACTACAGCCCTTATTAAAGCAGGAGTATTGTGTTTATACGTTAGAAGTGGTTAAAAATACCGATGATCTAAAAAGGGTTTATCATGAAAATTGCGATGATGTTAAATATTTCGTTTTAATAAATTGTGGGGGCACAGTAGACATTCTAGAGTGTCTTGAACCCGAAGAAGACGTTTTGTTTTTTATTCTCGATGCCCACAGACCGACAGACGTGTACAATATTTACAGTGATAATCAAGTGCGGTTATTATGTAGTCAAGAATCAGATGTAAATGTACCCAAGTTTCACGATATTTTTACAGAGGATGATGAGGTGAGTAAGTGGTCGCTATTGCAACTGTTATCCCTAATTTAGTTTAGTCGGAGAACGAAGAACATGAATCAGAAAAAGAAGATAGTGATGAAGTGGAGGATAGAGCAGTTAAAAGGCAAAGATTAGAAGAACGTATTATACGAAGACGCGAAAAACGAATTTGGGAACAGAATAGGGAGGAAATTCTACGTAAATATGCACAGTACACTTATTATGCCTACCCAGTAAGACTTGTTATGTTACAATAAATGCCTGTATTGTGTATTATGTACATTTAATTTCAGAGCGCGATTACAATGTTTAATTTGGCCTGGAAGCTAAGTAAAGATGACATGGATTTCTTGTGGTATGCTATAGTAGCTCTCGCGGAACAGGAAGTTCTTGGTAAAATAGAAGACTCAAATTACGTGTTAGAAACGGGAACTTTACAATCTCACGCTAATCGATTACGAAACCGAACTGCAGACAACAATCTCGCCACATCAACTAAAATTGAATTCGAAAAAGACTTGAGACTTGCCCTTTACAGACACTGGACCGTCGAAAGTAGTTTAAAATATTCTACGTACACCGCTTGCAAATTGAAATTGTGGTCAATAAAAGGAGAGATGAAATTACATGAGCTGCTGGTCGATATGGGGTAAAAAAATGATTTATTTTTCAGATATTCATTGATCTAACATTTAATATTTGTCTAGACTTCCGTTGGTTCAGAGCAAACAAAATTTCTCGTCGATGGACTTGGACTTGCGTCAAGAGTTTTTAAGTAAATTGGAAAAATTTTCTGAAAAGTATGGACTGACAGACATTATCTACAGCACGTTTACGTTATCGTATGGCTATCGAAATAAATTTACCGCTTCCGATTACGTTTACGCCCTAATAGCAATTTTGGATGCTTCGGTAATTAATTGTAATGTACAGGGTGTCCAAGTCAAGTGTACTTCCTCTATCTTTCTATATATACATATATCATGAGAATTAAAACACGTAGTTTTAGAGGAAATCTGCTTGAATATGACACTTGTATAGTAATTTTATGACTAATTAATTATATTTACAGTCATCTGATAAAAATCCACAAGAATGTTTCCATTTGGCCCTCGACTGTCTTTCGCGGACAAAAAAAGAAGTACTACACTCGGCTCTTGAAAGGGCGAAAAATATTATTACAACCCTATTCAAAACCGTACAAAATGCATTAGATATGAAAAGGGTGATATCAGCAGGCCCGTTTTTGTACTACATCATTCAAGAGGGTTCAACTGGTTGGCAATTGCTCTCTCAACCGAATATTTTGTTTATGTTGGCTCAATTTTTACTCAAAGCCTATGTATCGACTTCGTCAAATCGAAAGGCCCAATCTCTACCGTTGTTAGTCTCTGCCCCTAGTGATGCAGATAAAGGAACTTGTATTTTGTTAGGAGTTCCCCCATTGTGCGAGGATTCGACCAAAAAGTACTTTTTTAATTAATTTCTGCACTTTTTTATTTACTACTAATTAATTTCATTTTTAGCTTATTCGGGGAGGCATTTCAACAAATTGCTAGTAACATAAACTGTGATACTTTTGCGAATTATTTCGATACGTCGTGTAAGTATACGTTCTTTTATATTTATTCTATTTTTTGTAATTGTTTCATTTCTGTGTTTTTCAGATGTCGATTTACATATAAAAGATCGTACGAGATTTTTGGATGCATTAACTGCAATTGTTTTATAGAATTTGTTTAAATAATGTTTTGTTTTGTGTGTAAATGTGTTCATGTAGAAAATTAAAAGTGTTATTCATGTAATTCCAAGATGTAATTTATAAGTTTAGCAATTTTTATAAGGAAAAAAAAGTTTTATGTAATTCTTATGCATTTTAAAATAAATTATTTTACTTAATATACTGCATTATTGTTTAATTAATTTTCAGTTTATTTAAAACCTGAGGAAGTTGATATTAAAAAAAAATGATGTAAATTTCATGATTAGATAAAGTTTAATCTGCTTGAAAACTATACTGTCTCCTCCTCACTGTGTGATTAATTACTAAAAAAAAATATTCAAATTGAAGCCAACCGCTTTTCATTTAATTTTTTCTGCTATTACAATTAAATGTTAGTATTTAATTAATTTAGATAATTAATCGAAGTTAAAAATGACTGGGGCTAAATGTATAATGTAAATATAGGGCACCAAATAGGACAAACGAACTACTAGGAACTTTCTTTCAATCTTACATAACCTCAAAAAATCTGCAATTACTGCACTTTAAAATTAAGTAAAAAAAGTGTTTTTCTGTAAGAAAAAGGGTGTATTTTGTGTAATAATTAATGAATTAACTGTATATTTTGTGAATTAGTAATTGTAAGCACGATGGATAAGCCAGAAAATATTCAAAAAGCCCTTGAATTTGTGCAAGTATACGTTCGCGTTCTGGAAAATCAAATTAAATATTTTAATAAAATTCCCGAGAGTTTGCTAGAAAATATCCGTTCATTTGAATACACAGAATATGTGAAATTCAAACAACTAAGCAGAAAATTTAGAAAAACATACCATGATAAATACAAGCGTTCTTTAGAGAAGTTCAATGTGAAACTTTCACCAACGACTCAAAATTCTAATAAATGTTTTATTAACGATACTCAAAATGTAAACAGTAGTCTAGTAACTCAGAATCAAGAAAGTGCAAGGACATCAGTAAACGAATTACAGTTAGAAGACTTCGTATCACTACCGTTACTTTCGCAAATTAAGATGGACAATTCTCAAGAGAAAACCGATAACAATTCTTCAACCACTAAGTCTCTAAGTCCAAAAAAATGTAAAAATGATAGCAGCCAACAATTTTTAAATAAAACAAATACAGCGACTGAAAGTAATTCAATTAAAACCAATAGTTCAACCCCATCTAAATTTACATTTAAGAATTCCAGCTCTGACCAACATAAAAATCAATGTGGAGATTCATTAGCAAGTAATCAAACTAATTGTAAAATTTCCTCAATTAAACCTAACAAATTTGATTGTTCAACGCAATTAATAAACAGTAATGATACAGTGAAATCAATCGGTTCAAGCAAATTGCTGATAAATACAACATTAAATGAAGCTCAGGCAAGTTGCAGTTATAAAAGCGAAATTGAAGAAGTCGATATGTCGCTTTTTGAAAATGATTTTGAAATAGAAGAAAAAATTTCTCAAACTGAGTTAAATCCAAAAACTCAGTTTTATAATAACTTTCCCAAATTAGTTTTGAATGAAACACTTAAAGATTGTACAGGTAATAATAAAAATAACTTTCCAACGCATATAAATTCCTGCTGTGGTAAATATTCCTAATATTCTATACCTAATGCAAGCTATGAAATTTTCATTTATGTAATGTATTATACATTAATTATACTGAACGACTAAGGATTTGTAACTTTTACCACAATGGAATGAATGCTACGTGAAAAGTTTTTCCCCTATTAAAAGAGTCAACTAAAATTAATTAATTTCAGCCGAATTTCAAAAGGTTTACCCTCATACTGATGCTCTACATGATTCATTACATACAATGTTTGGAATACAATCTTTCAGACCGTCACAAGAAGAAATTATAAATGCTACTCTGTCCCAGGAAGACTGTTTTGTTTTAATGCCAACTGGGGGTGGAAAAAGTCTTTGCTATCAATTACCAGCCATTTTAACTCCCGGAGTAACTATTATAATTTCACCCCTCAGAGCTCTGGTGTCTGATCAATCCGATAAATTAAATGCGTTAGGTGTAAGTTGATAAAAATTATGTTTGTGTAAAAGTTTACCTGATGGTCAGTGTGAATTTTTGTAAAAAAAAATTATCATTGACAGGTTCCCACAGCACATTTGTGCCCTGAATTGACAAAAAATTACGATGAGTCGTTAGTTTTGAGTAACTTACAGGAAAAAGAGCCACCTATAAAGCTGTTATATTTGACTCCAGAACGACTGTGTTCAATGAACATGAAAAATATTCTAAACGGTCTCTATCAAAGAGGAAAAATAGCTCGTTTTGTAATAGATGAGGCTCACTGTGTGAGCCAATGGGGCCACGATTTTAGACCACATTATAAACAACTAAGCGAATTAAGAAATTTTTATCCAGAAGTTCCCATAATGTGTTTGACTGCAACGGCAACGAAATCGGTCAGAAATGATGTGATTCTAACATTAGCATTAAGGAATGTTAAGTGTTTTACCAGAAGTGGAAACAGGCCGAATATTAAGTACCATATACTCCATAAAAATCCAAAAACGGTGGTGCAGGATATCGCTGATATTATTTATAAAAATTTTCAAAATAAGAGTGGAATAATTTACTGTTTTTCGCGAAACGATTGTGAACAAGTAGCGGAGCAGTTAAATAGCGTTAATTTAAAGGCAGAGGCGTATCATGCAGGTCTGTAGTGCTCAGTTAAAATATTATGCAGAAATTTTAAAAACTTGTAAAATAATTACAGGGATGGTATCGAGCGTTCGCCAAAAGAAACAAACAGAATGGATGCAAAACAAAGTTAAAATTATTGTTGCAACAATAGCTTTTGGATTAGGGGTTGATAAACCGGACGTACGTTTCGTAATCCATCACGTAATACCTTCGTCTGTGGAAGCGTATTATCAAGAATCTGGAAGAGCAGGGAGAGACGGCCAACCTGCTTATTCCTTTTTATTCTATAATTCCTATGACGTTCGGAGGATAGGAGGGTTCATAAAATTGAGTAATTAATTAACGAGTTAATTTTTGTAATAACTAAAAGTACCCTTGAAACTATAGTTCATCATGTAGATCTCTTAAACCAGTGATGGTTTAATGAAGGAAAAGTTGCCTAATGAAGAAGATAAAATGTTTTAGTTATAGGTAATTTGAACAATTGAAAGACAATGATCACATTCTGATTGCAGTTTTTCAGCATTTACTGTCTCTTACGGTTTAGAAGATCCCCATGGTGAAATAAACTTCTTTTTCAAATATGATACCTATAACTTCTCACCCGGAAATAGATTTTTAAATTAACTGTATTTTGTACTTTTCTAGCCCAGATGTCAAGACCAACAACTCTTTTAGGTAGTTTAAACAATCTGGCCCAGGTTCAAGTCTTTTGTGAAAATAACATCGACTGTCGACGATTTTTACTACTGAGACATTTAGACGAGCCATTCGACCGTAAAGACTGTATAAATAATCATCAGGCAATCTGCGACAATTGCTTAAACTACCAAAGAGACTCGACAATGAAAGATTTCACCCGAGAAGCCCAAGATTTAGTGAAGATAATTAAGTATTTGACGTTCATCGATTACAAATGGACCTTGATGGAAATTTCGAACGTGTACAAAGGGGTGTACAAAACCCCCGAAGACAAGCAATTTAGTAAAGCGCATGCCTTGTATGGACAAGGGAAAGAAATACCATTAGCGGACATTTACAGGATTTTACAAGAACTTGTTCAGAAGGAAATCGTTGAAGAGGTGGCACCAGGAACTGGAAAATTCCCAATTTGCTACGTTAGAGTTAAGGATGAAAAACCCTTCGGGAGTGAGTATACATGAATGTACATGTTTGTTTTTCTGATTTAAAATAATGCCTACTTTTTAATTACCTATTCTATTTTTGATTAGAGAATTCATTTAATGTTAGTAAACATTTTTTAACAGCAAAAATCATGCTACCGGTATACAAAGGGCCCTCTTCTCTGACATTGCCGAGCCATTTGGAATGTTTTGAAAATAAGGACGACGACGACGCAGAGAAAAACCCGGAACTACCCCTGAATGTTACGCGTAGACTTAAACAAGAATGCCACGAGGGACTGTTAGACGTTTGTCAAAAACTAGCTGCGGAACAAGGGAGCAGGCTATCCGCAATCATGAACCTGACGGCGATAAAAGAAATGGCCGAAAAAATTCCGACAACCAAAGAGGACTTTATGAAAATCGAACACGTTACTGAAAACTTATTCGACAAGTATGGCGAAAAGTTTATGGAAGTTTGCAAAACGTACGACGCGAAAATTAAACAATTACAAAACGAAAGTAGGAAAAGACAACGACCAAGCGAAACGCCGACTGTTGCGTCAGTTAAGAGGGCTAAATATACCCGGTAAGTTTTCGGGTGGTGTATTATTTAATTTGTTTAATTCCGACCATCTCTTTTTGTTTAAACGTATTATATAACACATGCCTTCGTTTGTTTTAAATCCAGAAAGAAAAAGGGAAAGAGAAAGACCCCTAAAGCTACGAAAGCCCGAACGAAAGCCAGACGTAGTCCCAAATCGAAAAATTACCCCTCCAAAACAAAATACCCAGTTTTACATATTACATAGAATATACAATGTTTAGTTTAAGTGCCTTTATCAGTAACTTATCCTGTTTGCAATTTTATTTTATATCTTTTTGTAAAATTTAATTTAACTAATTATATTTAAGAATGAATTATCTGATTATTATTATTAATTATGTTTAGAATGACATTTTATTTTTAATAAAAAACTATTTGTCAGTATCCTGCTCTTTTATTTTGTCTAAGTATAAGAAGCCAAATGGTGTGATTATCAAATAACTTAAAGGAATATAATAAAATCACTAATTACAGTTAAGTAAATTGATAAAAGCCCCACCTGTTAAATAATACTAAAATAAAAAAGTCATAGCTCCACGACCAACAGTTAAGCCGTACCGTGGCGAATAAGAAAAATTTAATTTTGAAAAAGAAAATTTTTAAAAATTTTGAATTTTTCATCAACGCCAAATTTCATGTTCGCAGTGAGGCGTGTACCAGAGGGTTGAACATTAGAACTACACAGTCGCGGTTATTTTTGACGTTTAGTATCGAGGTTAATGAATATTTTATAAAAATATCTAAAATGTACGTAAAAAACCTAAAACAAGATTTTTATGAATTTTTGGCAGCAAAGGTTCGTTTACAATTAATCAATTTCATTCAGTTTAACTAAGGGTTCCATTCATTTTAGCGGATATTAC